GCCGGATGCACAATTCAACAGTGAGGATAAGCCCACTGATGCGACACTGTCAGTCAGTGTCCCGTCGTCAAGCTTACTTGACGACGTACGAAACGCATACGCAGAAGATAAGTATCTTCTGCGATTGATGGATCATCTGGTGAATCCATCCAGTAAATCCATGAGGGATTTACCGGCTTTGTACCGATCCTCATCGGATCGGTACAGTACACGCAACGGATTGCTGTACAATACAGCTGTTGCCGACGACACGCCTCGTGTCGTCGTACCCGCTCATCATGATTTGCGTTTACGCATCATGTATGAGTGTCACGATGCCCCAACAGGCGGCCATCGTGGTAGAGAAAAGACTTACCTCACGGTAAGTCGTGACTTTTACTGGCCTCGCCAGTATCATTTTTTCCGCAAGTACAGACGTGCTTGCAAGGTTTGTCAATGGGTGAAGCCTAGTCCTACATCCCGTGCGCCATTGCAGCCTCTGCCTGTTCCGACAGAGTGCTGGCAGTCCGTTTCAATAGACTTCGTCTTCGGTTTTCCCGAAGACGCTCACAAGAATAGAGGCATTCTTGTGTTTGTTGACCGATTCAGCAAGATGGCCCATCTTGACTCTGTCTCTAAATCGATCAAGGCTCAAGGTTGTGCTCGTGTCTTTCTATACACGGTCTTTAGACTCCACGGGTTACCCCGTGAACTAGTATCCGACCGTGACCCTCAATTCTCGGCGGGATTTTGGCAAACCGTGTTCCGTTTCTCGGAACACGATTGAAGATGTCTACTTCTGACCATCCCAAAACAGATGGCCAGACGGAACGTGCAAAACGTGTGCTCGAAGAGATCCTTCGAGGATTTGTCCACTCGTTTCCGAGTTGGAGCGAATTCCTACCCATGGTGGAATTTGCCATCAATAATTCGGTGCATGCTTCCACCCAGCACACACCATTTTACGTGAATGGCTTACGCCATCCAAGTGTAACCGCCCTATTAGAGTGTGACTCTTGGATAACGGGGGAGGGACTTGCTCGAGCAAAAACCGTTTTGGCTCTTGCTCATCACGTGTCGACGCTAACGTCGCCACGCATGATGCCGATGTCGATCAAGTCGACATCGATGAAGAAGATCACCTCAATAATAGCGAAGACGATATTATTGACTCGGATGATGATGACGATGCTGGTATACTCAGCATCGTCAACGACTATTCCAGCGAGGAAGAAGACAACCTCGCTGAAGAAGAGAACAATCTCTTAGCAGTGCGCACGAAGCGCACTAAAATACAAAGCAAAGATTCAGCAGAGAACTTCCTGCTGACTCGAGAAGCGATAGTCCGTTTCGTTCAGGACTCCATCGCAAATGCGGTGGACCTTCAGAAACGGAACGCAGACAAGAATGGAAGAGCAAATGTTCTTTCATTTAAAATTAACGACCTAGTACTACTGTCTACGGTAAAATTACCTGGACATGCAGTCACTAGTGTCGGCAGTAGTAAACTACTGCCGAAATACGTTGGTCCGTTTCGAGTGTTGCATCGCAAGGGCAATGCATACACGATCGAATTGCCACGTAAGATGCGCACGCATCCTACGTTTTACGTGGGGAGGCTCAGGCCGTACTGTCAGTACGAGCCTTCTTCTTCCGATGAAGATAGCCCCCACGTTTAATAACATCCATCAAGTTCTTGCGTTCGCGCTCCAGACGATCCGTCTGGTCGCGCAGATATGATACCTCTGAACTCAACCGAGATATCGCCCCGCGAGCTGGCGACAGCTCGCCGAATAGGGAGCGGACATCCCGCTCGACCTGAAGCTGCGCTGTGGCATAATCGGCGCGATCCCTCGCCCGATCAGCCTCGTGATCCTTGCGGTTCTTCCGCACGGTATCAGTCAAAGCGTAGAGCCGGTCGCGCTCGTGCTTCAAGTCATCGCGCAATTCATCGATTGAGCGATATATCTCGTAAGGGTCGAGATGGTGAACCGAATCATCTAGAGGAGGGTTTTCCTCCTCCAACACATCCTTTGGTGAATGCTCACGGTGGTCAACGCTTTCTAGTGGAGCGTATCTTGAATCACCGTGACGATTCAGGACCAAGGATGAGCTACCTCGTCCAGTGGCGGGGGTACCACCCTCTTGGAACAGCTGGGAGCCCCACTCTCAGCTGTTGATGGATGTTGAAGGTTTCTTCCGCCAGAATGACGAGACCCATCCGGTGAGTTCTCGGGACCATCGGTAAACACGCGCTTCTGGCGCTTGTAGACGGATTGCAAGTTTGCAATCGCGTCACGCATCTCAGCCGAGATGTGTGCCCTTCCCCAGGGCGAAATTAGGGAATACACATCCCTATGTGCACGCTGCGAGTTGTCAACACAACTCGCACAAGGGTCTCCCCATGTGAGGCAAGGAATGTCTGCCTCACTCGACAAACATTGCAACCGGTACCTAGCACTGCTTGGCGTTCGCTTTTCGAACCTGAGGCGTGTCGCCCCAAGTTTCTTAAGCCACCCTTCTCGTCCAAAATTCTTTACGTTTTGGACGAATGCGTTCCACGCAGCCAAAAGCGATGCTTTGTCACGCTTTTGGTTGCTGTTGTACCATCGATGTCTAAGAAAGACATCGAGATAAAAATCTTCTTCAGCGCGAAAGTTCTTCGCGCTGGAACTCAAGCCGTGAAGCTCAGTCGCATCGAATAAGGGTATTCGATGGTGTTGGCTTGTCTCGTGAGACAAGCTATTGATGAGCCGTTCGGGCAAACGCCACGGCTTCGGCTCATCACGCTTCACAGTGGTACCCTTGTCGGTACCACGGCTCCCAGATTGACGACGGCTCACGCCATCGTCATCACGCTCGTGCGAAGACGCACGAGCCGGTGGTGGTAAGGAATAATATTCCTCACCGCCCTGATCATCGTCATCACTGCCGAACAGACTGTGTTGCAACTCACGAGTCCGTTCGTTCGGCAGTGGCCTTGGCGAATACTGAGGCGTCACCGGTGAGCGAGACGCCTCTGGAGCATTGCCCGAGTCAGACACGTCTGACTCGCCAGAGTAGATGACCTCAATGTCGGGGTCATCATGCGCACGCGGTGAGGTGTCGCGTGCACCTGCAGCACCTATTGCTGCAGGCGAAGAAGGAGCAGCAGACGACGAATCGTCTGCCGCAGAGGCTAGCACAGGACCGGGCTGTGCGGGTCTTGAGTCACCTCGCATAGACATGTTAACTATGCGAGGTCAAGCGGAAAGTGAATGGAACGGACCCAACAAGTGCTCCCTGTCCCAATGGTGGCCAACGGGTGGCCGCCATATTTTCGATAGTCACACGGTGACTATCAGTTAAGGGGGGTGATGTAACGGGGCAGCCCGTTACATGGAATTGTCACTTTAAAGAAAGTGACAATAAAGAATATGAGGTTGAATATTCTTTGAACAATATCACCAAAGTGGTGATATTGAAGGGTCGACCAAAGAGTCTGTTCATTGGTTGATATCTTGATGATATCACCCCACCAATCTCCGCAAGACGCGCGCAATGATGGTGACGAGACGTCACCATACACTCAGTTATATTAGCATAATTAGGTTAAGTCAAACAAAGAGACAGTAGTTAAAAGACTTAATTATATTAATACAACAGTTCTGCTTTTACCTTACCTACGCTTCCTCGCTTGCCTTGTGTACAACTGTCGGGGCACCGATACCCTTGCGTTAAGTTCACGCAAGGGTGTGCCCCGTTACAACGGTACTTGAGGAGGGGCCTCTATATCAGGTGGGTGTGTACCTATAAATCTCCTAATCAATTATTTGCACGATGCGTCAAAGGGTCGAAATTTTCATGATATAGTAGTTATAGGGAAAACTGTAGTTTCTGTCACAATTCAGAACCAAAAAATAGTCGATTATATTATGCGTCGGAAAAATTAGATTGAATGTCAATAAGGTTTACTTCGCATTAGTTTTGAGCTGCTAACATTTCCACTAGCAAAACAGCGAATATTTTAATGTAAACAAACCCTCGTTAGTCTTTATTGCAAAATTATATTGAACTACATTATGAATAATACAGACCGAACACGAGTCATACGTAGTTGGTGCTGTTGTACAGCCATTTCAGTCTACATTTTCCGGTTGACGTTGCTGTGCTTTACTTTGTGAATGTGATCGAATGATATTACTAGCAAAATAAAAAACAATGAATATTAAATTACCAAACTTTACGCCATTAAGATGACGATTGAAATCTAACTCTGCCGTAAAAACATATTTTTTAATGAATTTAAATCATCCTGAGTAATTCTGATGAGCGTCTACGAACCTCAATGATTTTTAAAAGTTGTTAGGGGAGACGAAAACATGCGATACATAACTACAAAGACAAGAGTGCGTGATAAGGTGAATGGGTAGAAAGAAGGATAAAGAATAACGACATCATAAGAAGGCACCAAGAACATTTGCAACGCAAGCGAATTTTCCATGCACGGGATCATATGTAAATAAAGGAGCTTCTCCATTGTCCATATCGCCGTTGAATAGATAGGGCATGCGCGTAACATTACATGCTGCTGCTCGCGTGCATTTTAGCTACACATTCACTCCTCGTCGCTGCATTTGTAAACAAATGAATGCAAACGCAATGCACGACGTCCATAGTCAAAAAGCCTATTGACATTCAAAGCTCACAACCGGCCTCGACAGAACCAGACGTCATCATTGCGCATGCTAGTCTCGATCAGAGTTAACTATCATCAAGTCCTTCAAATCGCACGTGGGACCAATTTACGGCCTAGCGGATTCTGCCCCTATCTTTCGCTGCATCTCTGTTTGGTGCGACCTATTCGCAACTCGCTCTTCTTGATTCGCCATCGATCATCCGCGCGTGCCATTGGCTACAACTCGAACGTCGTGGTTAGAAATATCGACGTGAGACCCCCAACCGCGCGAAAAGCAACGAATCCTCCACGAGGTTGCACTTGTGAAACGGAACAATCAAAAGCACACACTGTCCGCACGCACATGTGGCGCCGATCCCTCGCAAAGCTGTCGGCGCTCCAGCGCCAGTCGCTACCCACGCGCCCGCAGCGCTGTTGGCTGTCGTCTCGAGCGCTTACACAGGAGGAGAACGACCTGTTGAACGGACCGCGCGAGGCAATGGACTACGACGTCGTGCTGGTACGGCCAAGTGCAGAGTGATGGTCAATGTGTCCGAGTCCGTTCTAACTTGACTCCTGTATGTGTGCCCAGGTCGGCGCCGGTCCCGCCGGTCTCTCGGCGGCCATCCGCCTGAAGCAGCTCGCAGCCGAGAAGGGCACTGACCTGTCGGTGTGTGTGGTTGAGAAGGGCGCAGAGGTCGGGTCGCACCTCGTGTCGGGCAACGTGCTGGAGCCGCGCGCGCTGAACGAGCTGCTGCCGGACTGGAAGGACCGCGGCGCGCCGCTCGATACGCCCGTGACGAAGGACAAGTTCCTGCTGCTCACGGAGACGCAGTCAATGGCGCTGCCGCACTTTCTGCTGCCCCGGGAGGAGGTACGTGCGCGTACACAACTTGTAGTGGTGTGTCTGTACGCGCGCCTAACGTGTGGTGGCTGTTGTGTGTGTGTGTGTGGCGGTAGCACAACGACGGCAACTTTGTGATGAGTCTGAGTAAGTTTGCGCGCTGGTTGGGCGAGCAGGCGGAGGAGGTGGGGGTCGAGATCTACCCCGGCTTCTCGGCCTCGGAGGTGCTGTACCGGGCAGACGGAGCCGTGGCGGGCATTGCAACGCGCGACGTTGGGATTGGGAAGGACGGGACGCCCAAGAGCACTTTTGCGCGTGGCATGGAGCTCCGAGCGCGTGTGGTGCGTCCATTGGGTTGGGGCACTGCTGCTGCTGTTGTTGCTGCTGCTTGACGAACGGTCGTGACGAGCAGGTTGGACTGATGCTTGTGTGTGTGTTGTGTGTTGCTTTTGTGTGTGAGTTAGACGCTCTTTGCTGAAGGCTGTCGGGGATCGTGCAGTGAGGAGGTGATGGAGAAGTATCAGCTGCGAGACGGTGTCCAGCCCCAGACGTATGGAATTGGTGTGAAAGAGGTGTGGCGCATTCCAAAGGAAAAGCACCAGCCTGGGCTCGTGCAGCACACGCTGGGCTGGCCTCTGCAGCAATCACTGATGGACAAGACGTTTGGTGGCTCGTTTATGTACCACATGGAAGACGACCTTGTCCAGATTGGGCTCGTCGTCGGGTTGGACTACGAGAACCCTTACATCAATCCGTACGAAGAGTTTCAGCGGTTTAAAACGCACCCGGCGATCCGAAAGTATTTGGAAGGAGGCGAGTGCGTGCAGTATGGTGCCCGCTGCCTGAACGAAGGCGGTTACCACGCGATTCCGAAGCTAACGTTCCCTGGTGGCGGACTGATTGGGTGCTCGGCTGGGTTCCTTAATGGTGTGAAGATCAAGGGTACGCATACTGCGATGAAGTCGGGCATGCTAGCTGCTGAGGCAGCATACGAAGCTTTGATTGCCACTGACGTGGAGCCCGTGGCTGCAACGGCGGAGATTAATCCGGACGAGCCGGCTGTCGATATCTCGAGTTACGAAGATGCGGTAGAGTCATCATGGATTGCTGAGGAGCTGAAGGCCGTGCGCAATGTGCATGCTGGTTTCCACAAGGGATTCTTGCCCGGCCTCCTACACGCTGGTGTGGCTACACACGTCTTGAGGGGAAAAGAACCTTGGACCATTCCGAATAAGATTGCAGACTCGGCCAAAACGCGCCCAGCCAAAGAGTTCTCGCCCATTGAGTACCCGAAACCGGACGGTGAGTTGACGTTCAACTTGCTTTCGAACCTACAGCGCAGCGGCACCAACCACAATCACGACCAGCCCTCACACCTACGCATCAAGCCTGAGCTCGCGGAGGTACCTTCGACTGAGTCGTTCCCTGTGTACGCTGGTCCGGAGCAGCGCTTTTGTCCTGCTGGCGTGTACGAATACACGGATGGTAGCGAGGCCAACGGTGTCCCGCAACTCGTGATCAACGCTCAGAACTGCGTCCACTGCAAGTGCTGCTCGATAAAAATGCCTAAGGAGTACATCAAGTGGACTGTGCCTGAAGGCGGAGGTGGCCCTGCTTAGTACGTTACACTGCTGACGGCTTTGTGCGATGTGGGGGTCATATCGATTGTTTGATTGTTATTTGGTGTCGTTTGCGTGACTGTGCAGTGAGCTCATGTAATGGACTCCTCGAGAGCGCTGAGGTCTTTGTATGACGTTGTAATTGCGTTCAACGACTAGACGGTTGTTCGCGCCGGATCGAGCTAAGGCAGAGTGTCACGACGTGCATTTCCGTTTCTGGTTACCAATAGATACGAACACTGTCGTTTTGTCCAGCCACACGAGATAACTTTCGGGAATATAAAACGTGGGACGTCTCTAACGAGTGATTAAAATCGAAAAGGATGCGTCGGTATCGAAGAACTTCGTTGCTTGACAAAACTGTGATTATCACGCGCTCATCCATCGAGTGCACACTCGCAAGAACAAAGAGTACGGCGTACCGAGGCGTAAAACTGCAGCAGAGCAATTCCGTACGTCCTGCACTAGATAGGTTGGCTATATGGTCGAAAATAGAGAGAGATATAGAGGCCGGCTTTATCCACGACGCCCTACTGCCAAGCTTATGCAAGTTATCAAAGCAAGTTCGGATGAGCACGTCGCCATTGGACGCGCATTGTTATCGAGTAGAATACGATGCAGCATTCGTGCACGCAACAGCAAACGTGTATTGAAAAAGCTCAGAAAGCTGAACTATGTGTAGATGTCGCAATAGCTCATTCGATTTCCAGCTGATAGCTATTTGTGCGAATTCGTCTCTTCCTATCGCTGTGATTACGGTCAGAGAAATGCGATAATGTCATGGAGGAGAACCGATTCGTGGTGGACAAAGCAGCTCTTTTCACTCGCTTAGAACATGCAATTACACTAGGGCCGCGAGTTTAGTGTCGACGTAAGGGAAACGAGGAAACGATAAGACTATGCTGAGGTTAGAGATAGCAGCAGATACAACTTGGTAGCAAGAATCTGCAGAGGAGATAGCAAGCGTGAAACGCACAACTCTACGCATATAAATTGACCAGATTTGGATATCGACATTTGGGAATGAATGATATGGGGTCCCGTGGCCACACCTGTCTGACGTTGACCGTACACTCGGTGAGAATGAGCTCACGCGCCCAATAATACATTCGAGTGATCATGATGCGTTCGATGCTTTTTAGCTTTACGCGCATGCTGTTTCAAACAAACGATGATGCGTCTAATGTCTTTAAGCTTTACGCGCATGTTTTTTAAAACAAATGAGAAAGTTGAGCTCCTTTACCTCGACTTCATAGCTCGATTTTCCATGCCGGTTTCCCTCAGATTCTCCATCAACTTGCCGCTGTTTCCATCGAAGTATAGCTACAAGTCTCGCTTGTAGCCCTTTTTTCCACTTGTATGACAGGATCGAGAGCATCATCCATCATTGCCAGTCATAAATTACGCGTGGACCATAACATGCGCATACGGCTAGTATAATGCAATAAGTCAATGCAGTAAAGGAGCACGAATGGAGCAAACTTGAAGTCCGGCGCGCATAAAGCCGAGTGCCTGTAACCACGTACGCAAACACTTCTGATGAAGGATTTGTGTTCCATTTTTGTGACCGATGATAGCATCAATCCACTAAGACGTCAACAGAGCAGCCCCGATCAGTCGAACCGTGTAACAAGTATCGACAGCAACGTAACTGTCGCATTCAAAAGCGACATCGATCAGGAGTCCTGTGCGCGCATTATGGTTGACATACGTTGATCTTCGATGTGCTCGAAACACTTCGTGTACATTGTGTATGCAAAGAAACGTGCAGAATATGCTGCGCGTAACCCATTTAGTGCGCATTTCAATACGTGGAATGCCATTGAAGTGCAAAACATGCTACAATTACATTAACGCCTTTACGACAAATTAGTAAACCTCATTCTACTTTGTCCTTGTACATTCGCTTTCGAACCGTAGCAGGTCTCGGTCACATGGAATCGACGAAGTTCACGAGCTTGTGATGCGGACCATGACAAGCCCCGACTTCAAAAGCTAGTACTTCACTATGCGTCGACAGTCGTTGCCAGGCAACCCACAAGCTCCATCCCATGATGTCGTGGGCCTTCCCATAAGCAGAAATAGTGGCGCGCATAGGCAATTTCGCGCACGGAGACTCATATTGCAAGCAAAGTTGCTCTACTTCACACTCTTGCTACATACATATCCATACCTGTCCCATCTTTTCTGCGCAATAAAGGCGCTTTGAAGCGAACTTATGTACTTGCTTGCTTTTAACTCACAGAAACGTTCTGGTAAGCACGTGGTAAGAAGCATGTGCGACCTCTACTTTTAAGTAAACAATCTTGGTGTTGTCATGAAAAACTGTCAATTAAGACGAATGCACCCTATCATTTCCGCTTGCACCATAGTCACCGTTCAGCCGCATGTGGTCCATGTAGTTGCCATAGGTATTCACACGCGAAGGTGGCGTCACAACATTCACCTGTGGCTCCAACACTTGTGAGAGTTTTCAGCAGCTTGCGGATTGAATGTGGAAATAAACATAAATGTGCGTAGAGGGCTACCGGTAATACAGTTCCGGGAAGGCTGACGTTTGCATTCCGGTAGCTCGACGTGAAGCAGAAAATGCTGCTGCTGTAGCCCAGTTTCCTGCGAACGTGAATGATCTTACCTCATCTATCAGGTGTCATTGCAAAAAGGTTGCACTGTGTATATTCGTCTACGTCTTCCACTCCATAGATGAGATGGCACGATGTTTGCATGGTTAAACACTTATCTGACACCTACAAGTCATAGATGGCGTGGCATTCTGGATACATCAACACGTCACAGACACAGAACATCCCGAGAATGCAGCACGGCGTTTGCCAACGTTGTAGCTTCTATAGTCTCAATGCCATTTGTTGCAACTCTGTAGTATGTACTAAAGCACACTCACAAGTCTGGTACACGCCACGTTTCCAACAGACGATACAACACTCTTGTGTTCTAAACACTGACGAGTCAAAAGCGTCTCACAGAACTTACGACAGGTCATGATAGTTCATCGCACACACATGCGAAGCTTCGCAGAGTCTTGGACGGCTACCAGCCGGTCAGCAAGTAACGGTGATGTCAGTACGAATCGCCAGAGTCAGGTACAACATTGCGACGAGCACGACACACACTCGTCATCATGTTTGCACACGGTATCCACTTCCGCAAAGCGTCTTGCGGCCAACAGTCTCTAGTCGTTGCCTGCGCTTTGTCAGACTTGTACGCGCACCTCTTCCGTTCGCACTAGAAATCGCGGTAAAGCATCAGCATACCGTCCAAGTGAATAACGGCTCGATCAAGACGGTCCAACGAACGGCTGAGCTTGTCAAACTTGGCCAGATCGTTGGCTTCTACCAGCTGTTCCGACCGCGCAATCAGCTCCTTGTTCTCCTCCGCTTCAAACTTCCGTCGACGACGGAGACGACACAACGAGTCCTGCACGCGATCGGTGATACGCCCCTGCATCTTCGGCACATCCACAGACCAACAGAAAAACGTAAACGCTGGGTTGTGATCAGCACGCTTCGAGATTTCCTGCAATTTCAGCAACTTGTCGGTATACATCTCATACAACCGGTGCCTTGCGTCATTGGACGGCAGCAGCGCCAGTTCACCGATCGTCTTTTGTTCCAATTGGCGCTTCTCCAAAAGTAAACGCACGATGCGAGCGCTCGCAACACCGTACTTGTCTTGGATGTACGCGTGAGTCGTGGCCTGTTGCAAAAGCTCTACGATCTTCTGCATGTGTACCACATACCGGCCACCATCACCTGCGCGAGCCTGAGTGGAATCAAATGCCTCATGTGCGACTTTCATCACCATACCTGACTTGTCACGGCACATGACCATCATGTAGTTCAGTAGTAGTCGCCACGGATTGTTAGCTTCGGAAGGGAGCGCTTTCTTTACACTTTCCATTCCGAACAAATCACGCGCCGACACCGGGAATGAAGTCAGCTCGTCCTTTTCGCGTTCGTGTGGGGACGAGTGCTGAAGCATGGCGGCTACAATAGCGCCGGCTACAGCATTCACATTCTCCGTAGCAAACCTAATGCACGCCTTGTGACGCAAGTCACGCAGCAACTGCGTGGCACCGAAACGCCACACCAACGACCGCTCGTCCGTGTGAGCTCCAGGACCATCGCATGCGCTATCCCCGCTGGTCTCGTCCCCAAAAGGAGCATTTCCAGAACTTGTACCCCGCGTAGGCAACTTTGCACGCTTTGCATATTTCGTGCGCTTGGACGCACGACCAGAAGACGCAGACGTCGATGCAGGACTAGGCTCCCACTCAGCTTCCGAATCATCCTTTCGAGCTGCCTCATCTGCGTCCAGCATCATTTGTAATTCTACCGGGATAGCATTTCCTGACTGTTGAGATAGAGCCTTTCGCTTCTTTCGAACCGTCAGCCCGTCCTCGTCAGCAGCATTGCCCAGTTTTTTGCCGGCATCTGCCGCAGCAGTCGCTGCACTGGCATTTTCGTTGGTTGTACCATTCATCTCCTGTCCACGCGTTATACTTGCTGGAAAGTCTGACACTTCTTTCGACTCCGCAACCTTCACCTCCAACGGGTGTACTCGTGAGATGTAGCGTTTCTTGGCCATCTCGACAAACACCTCTCGCACTTGGTCTCGACACTCGTCCAGCTCGTTCTCACTCACCACATCTTCTTCCTCTTCCTCTCCTTTTTCTCTCGATGCCACGCGACTAGACGCATCTCCATTCTCCTGTGCCTGCTTGTTCTTTCGCTCAAGACGGCGATGGTCGGCCAAGTTGTACGCCATCGTCTCGATCGACTGGTCGATGCGCATACGGCCTTGCAGCAGCACTTCCTCCATGATCACTTGACCCGTTGACCCAAACGCTTCTCTTGCTTGCTCCATGAACTTGGGAAACCGCAGACGGTACATCACCTCCTGCACGTTCATCTGCTACCAACAAACGCATTCAAAGCATTGCCATTGTCTTAGCCACCCTTGACATTACGAGCACAGGTACACTGCCCAACAACAAAAACACGGCAGCACAACGACAGGCCACAACGAGCGGCTGCGCCGTCTTATTTCTTGCACAGGCGACGTACCTTGTACGTCACGGTCTGGACGCCATCGCTTCGACTGGCCACGGGCGCCACGTCCAGCAGATTGTGCTGCAGCAACTTGAGCAGCGCCCCCGTGATCTATCACACACACAGCACGTCCATCAGTTAGGCTCTTTGATAGGTCATCCGATCCTCTTCAGACTCGGGACGGACCTGGTGCACCGAAGACGGCGGCGCGTGGGACGTCGTTGTCGGTCGCTGCAGCTTTGACGCGATCTCCGCCAGTCGCAGTCCCTCGGCGCGCAGCAGCGTCTCGGCCACTTGTCCAGTCAGGTGGCCAAAGTCTTCGCGCACGACGTTGAGCACCAGCGCGCGCTCGGACCGCGTCGCAAACGCCGCCGCCGCCGTCGTCGTCTTGGCCATACCGGACGCGCCGCACGAATCGAAACGGAACGATGCGATTGGTCAATTGGCTGCTGGTGGGCGAGTGGCCGGGCGAAAAGCGACCACCGACGTACCTGACGGATGGGTTACAAACGCTGTGGTTACTATGACCGGTGGCCAACGTAACTTCACCGTTCGTAACCCGTAGTGACTGCAAAGAGGGCGCGTTATGTCAGCCACTTGCCCTCGGCGCTCGACACTTGGGTTTGGTTTACTTGACCTCACGTGATTGGCTAATAAGTCGCTCCACTTGGACGAGGCGTTGAAGACCGACATGGACGAGCAGCTCGGCGCGCAAGCGGTCGAAGCGCTCAATCACTTCATCCGCACGTTTCACATCATGGCCAGTGTACGCAATAGAGCGGCGCATGCTGCTGCTGCTACTGCTGTGTTTTTTCTTTGTGTCCTTTGGCGGTTGCCTCGTCGTGTGCGTTGTGTTTGCTTTGTAGATACTGATCTTTTTTCATTGGTCGTGGAACTGTCACGATAGACGGAGATCGCCCGCAATCGACTCAAGAGCTCTTTGGATGTGATGCTGCAACAGCGACGTCGTAAAAAGCATCGGGTCCTGGCCGACTGGATGTTGTACGACGCGTGTCAGGGCTTTCGCGTGCAGAGTGGGGAAGCAGCAACTCGTAGACACGCGTGCTCGCTTGTCTTTGTCACTTGCATGCTAAGTTATTTTGTTGTTTTTGTGTGCGTGGATGGCGTTTTTTGTTGTACTTGTGCTTTGCTCATGTGTTCATGTGCTTGGTAACGGCGCAAAAAGCATCCGAGTTGCCGAGACGCGGTGGAGGGTTGCAGGTCAAGCGCACGGTGCAGATACAGCTGACCAATCCGAATCAATCTATCATCAAGCGCGTCGTGGTGCTTCCAATGGTGCCTCCACTTCCGACTACCGCTATGTGGACGGCCCTGACCAAAAATTACGGTGTGGAGGACGAACCGACGCGCAAATGTCTACCCTGCTATGATACTACTGATACGGGAAACGCCGTGTCAGAGCTCGAGCAAGTCAAGTGAGAGACGTCTACGGTGATGCTTGGTGAAAGCGGATCTGGTCCGTTTCTGACTGCTGATGTGTTTGCTGTGTGTCTTTTGTGTCGTTAAACTGCCATTAGGCAGCAAAGATCAAGTGCATCTGAGGAGGAGTTTACAATCGAATTGTGTGAATACGTCCTAAGGAATCTTCAGTCGACGTGGGACCTTACCCCAAGCGATCTCACACGTGTCTCAAAAGTCATGATGGTGAAAGAGGAGGTCAGAAGGAGCTCGTTACGTACGCCTGAGCGCATGCAAGGCATTTGTCATACATTGTTTTTTAACGCTGTTTTAATCTTGTCGCAAGTAGGTGCTGGTCGAAGTCTACACGAATCTACATTTTACAGAAAGCCATACAGCGAAGAAAAGACGTGGAACAGAGGCATCGGTCGCTTTCAATAAACGAAGCAGAAATATACCTGCGGACAGGGCGAAGTATGGCCTGCTAGATCGCGCTGATCAGACAGTTTCGATGAAGGAATACTGTCAGCTCTACGAGAAATTAGCTGATTCATATCGGAGTACGCGCTCCCTCTCGTTCCGATTGCATAGCACGTGTGTCGATAGCTCACATTCGCAACGTGACTGCCAAATTTGTGTGTAGGCCTTTTCTGTCGTCGGTGTTTTGTGTACGACTGTGATTATCATGGCTGCACTAAGCAACCCAACCTGGTGCGCTATATCAAGCCTTTTTGACGTTAATGCGTGATCAATCTGACGTTCTTGCAATGATCGATAGAGTATCTTGGAACAAAACGCTGCCGCATCGAATGCGAAGGCGAAGGAGACACTGGTCAACACAGGTCGGAACTGTGGAAATGACTGTTTTCTTGGTCAAGTGAGTCTATCAAGCTGCAACGGTGTTGCCACGTCTCGCGCTCGCTCTGCCGGTCTTGCGTGCAGCAAACGGATGAGCATTCTTTGTGCACGCGCTTACACCATATACTCGGGCAACTTTTGTAAAATGGCGAAGATGGTTGGCAACACTACTTGCATGGAAGTCGCTGAAATATGTGCTTACTGCAACATCAACGACAGCATTTTGTCGAACGAGGTACATGTGAAGCGGAACGTAATCTCGGTCAACTGTGTAAACAGTCTGTTGATACGTTGCTAACCTTGCAGGCTCGCTCTTTGTCCAAAAGTCGACGCTCGCGGAAGGCAAAAAAAGCGGATGTCACTTGCTCACTTTCAAAGTACGTCTGCATGTTCTACAAGGATTGCACGTATATCGTTGTCCTGGATACGCTGGAGTGCTTTGAGATCAAAAGCGATGTGGCCACGCAGAGGAACATTTCGTATGGCACCCGCTCAGCATCTGCTTAGGCCCAAGCGATGACGGCTATCGGTCTTTACGCTGGGCTGCACCTACAAATAGCGCTGTTGATGTACTGTATGTGTCCACCTCATTCTATGCGTTCGTTCGTTGCTGACTTGAACAGGCTCTCAAAATGGCGTGAGGGACACTGTTCAAATGAAGTACGTCTACTCGTAGGCAGGTTTGTCAGCGTACCATTTTGAACGACGTGACTGCTTTGCCTGTCGTATACCTAGGATCGAGCCATGCTCCCACATTGGTCCATGTGAGGCTGGCGTCTGTTCTTGCGTCGACAGTGGCATATTTTGCTTAAAGCATTGCCATTGCATCCATGACGAGTGCAAGGTCTTCTTTCCAGGGTGCAGATGCCAGCATGGTGATTGCCGCACGGAGGCGTGTCTCTGCATCCGTGCTGGTCGCGAGTGCGACATCGACCTTTGCACAGTGTGCTCTGCAGACGAGATAATCGCCCGCAAAATGGGGAAGCCGTATGACGTCAACGCAAGCAAGATGAAGAAGGACGACAAGTGTGAAACAAGGTGCCGAAACCGCTGCATTGCACTCGGCAAACAGAAGCACGTGCGAATGGGTCGGTCGAAGCTTGGCGTTGCGGACTGGGGGCTATTCGTGGACGACTTCGTCACTAAGGACGAATTCATCATTGAGTACATTGGTGAGATGGTGTCACAGGAAGAAGCTGATCACCGTCGTCTTGTCTACGGCAAAGAAGGCAGCAGGTACGATAGTGATTCGTTTGTCCGACATGTTGACCTGCTTGGGTGCGTGCTCACTGTTTCGACCTTCCTTCCAGGCATTTGATCACACTTGATACCAAAACTGTGGTGGACTCGACGCAAAAGGGCAACAAGGCCAGGGTACGTTGCATCGGCCTTGCTGATCGCATTCACTTGACCAATTTCTGATGGCGCGATGTTTGTGCGTTGGATGTGTAGTTGATCAACCACTCTTCATCAAGTCCGAATTGCGTGTGCAAGATCGTGAACGTGCAGAGCGATTTCCGGATCGGTTTGTATGCCCTTCACGATATTCAACCGCATACGGAGGTACGCAAGCAGCCCTACCGTGTCTTCTCAGATTGTCAACTTGTCGCACTAAGGGTTTGACCTTATGTCACTCTGAAGCTCTTCTTCGATCATGGTTTCGACAAGGAGCTGTACGATGGTGAGCTGTCGAACGACGGACCGCCACCGAGTACATGACCTGGGTCTGACGTCAGCCAAGACCATGGAAGCAGGAGCACTCTGCCTCGCATGTTAAACGATCTTTGTGATCATATTTATCGAGTGTCACCACTTACATTGCGCGAGCATGAACGAGGCGCTATTGCGTTCGCCGTGCCATCGTTCCAATGCACCGCGCACAAGTAAGTAGCACGTTTGCACGCGCGCTTTGAGTGTTGATGGTCTACAGGTTGTGTGGCTGCACAACACGATTCCAGATGCTTCGCAGTCGCCTTTGCCGTGATGCACTCAGACGTGTGTGTCCGTCCGCTATCACTTGTTTTTCTTCATTTTTGTACCAGCGTATCTAGTGACAGGAGAACAGTCTCAATACTGCTGCCAAACGTCATGAGGCACACGTAGGCTCAAATGTTTCTCGCCTGGTCACTTTTGGTCGTCCCCTCACACCTCATCGACACTTATACAATCGACAACAAACCAAAAAGCGAAACGTTCTCGTGCCGCCGTCTCACTCGTCAGTGACTGTAGACACGTACCAAAAACGTCAACGTCAACTGTCTTCGACCGTCGCATCTTGTTCGTCACATTGCGACTTAGCCGAATGGAACACGGCCACCGCTAGTACAAAGAGGTACCCGTGTTTTTCCGTTTAACTGGGGTCCAAGCTACACTACATTCACCTTAGCCCTCGACCTCGACAGCCATGTGGCGGACCCAAACGAACTCTAGTCGTGACGCGTGATGTGGATGTGAACATCACTGTTCTCGTATCGAATGGGGGCAATGTCGCTGCAGATGAAGCCGTGTTCGCGTTCTTCCGTCCGTTGAACGTGAGTGCACCTGGCAGCGCTGCATTGCTGAATGAGCAGTTGTTTGACTACCGTTGTGTGATATTGCAGCTTACCCAGTTCCATAAGGTCACTTTTCTTTGCTGGCGAAGAATGCTATGGATGGTAGACGACATGGGCAACCAAGCCAGCTATCCTGGTCTCTGCAAAGTCATGCGAACGAATGGAGTGCATGAGCGAGTGACATTTGCCGTTCACCTAATCGGCGAATATGACATGATCGATCAGTTTCCGACAGACCAGAAGCACAATGGCTCGCCTTGTCCAGCAGCACATGTGATGCAGCAGACTTCAACACCATTGCGTCAACATTGACAGTGAGGTAACCCAAGCGGGAACTGCCAGAAGCAGCGCACCACTTGTGATGCACGGTATTGCTGCGTCTTTTACATGGCTAGTTGCGTGTGTGCATTATCCCGATCACTGCAGCTGTATATGCCCAGCAGGGAGCAAATGTTTACCCCCTGATTGTGCGTACCAGACAAGATAACCGCTTGCCAGAGCAAAGTATGCACTCGCCGGAGTGTCATCACGGGGTGGACGACAATGGTGCATATCCACGTAGAATGTGATCTGCAGAAGTAGTAGTTGTCTTGCTCTGATGCTCTTTTTTGTTTGACAAGGGGGCTTCATGCCTCTGTATCAAGTTCGACTGTTCCTCGATGTCATCCGTTCGCAATGATCATGTGACGGCTCTGTATCATCGTAGCTGCTTGAATGATGGCGAATGATTGAAGCTGTGAGGAATTGGCACCTAAAATTGACTTGACATTATTGCAGAAAGTAGCTGTTGCGTCACTCGAGCCACTTCGATTCCAAGCACGTTCGAGTTTGCGTCTATAGCCGCAAACGAATGGCAAAGCCGAACACGCAAATATTACCCGTCAGCACGACACACCTTACTAGTAACTCGACACTGTGCGGTCGCACTTCGGCCGTTCCGAAACAGAAGTGGTCTAACTGTAACGGGGTACACCCTTGCGTGAACTTCACGCAAGGTCGCTTCACGCAAGGGTATCGGTGCCCCGACAGTTGTACACAAGGCAAGCGAGGAAGCGTAGGTAAGGTAAAAGCAGAACTGTTATATCGATATAATTAAGTCTTTAACCACTGTCTCTCTGTTTGACTTAACTTAATTATGCTAATATAACTGAGTGTATGGTGACGTCTCGTCACCATCATTGCGCGCGTCTTGCGGCGATTGGTGGGTTGATATCATCAAGATATCAACCAATGAACAGACTCTTTGGTCGACCCTTCAATATCACCACTTTGGTGATATTGTTCAAAGAATATTCAACCTCATATTCTTTATTGTCACTTTCTTTAAAGTGACAATTCCATGTAACGGGCTGCCCCGTTACATCACCCCCCCTTAACTGATAGTCACCGTGTGACTATCGAAAATATGGCGGCCACCCGTTGGCCACCATTGGGACAGGGAGCACTTGTTGGGTCTGTTCCATTCACTTTCCGCTTGACCTCGCATAGTTAACATGTCTATGCGGGGTGACTCAAGACCCACACATCCTGGTGCTGTGCCAGCTTCTGCGGCAGACGATTCGTCGTCTGCTGCTCCTTCTTTTCCTGCAGCAACAGGTGCTGCAGGTGCACGCGACACCTCACCGCGTGCGCATGATGACCCCGACATTGAGGTCATCTACTCTGGCGAGTCAGACGTGTCTGACTCGGGCAATGCTCCAGAGGCGTCTCGCTCACCGGCGACGCCTCAGTATTCGTCAAGGCCACTGCCGAACGAACGGAATCGTGAGTTGCAACACAGTCTGTTCGGCAGTGATGACGATGATCAGGGCGGTGAGGAATATTATTCCTTACCACCACCGGCTCGTGTGTCTTCGCACGAGCGTGATGACGATGGCGTGAACCGTCGTCAATCTGGGAGCCGTGGTACCGACAAGGGTACCACTGTGAAGCGTGATGAGCCGAAGCCGTGGCGTTTGCCCGAACGGCTCATCAATAGCTTGTCTCATGAGACAGGCCAACACCATCGAATACCCTTATTCGATGCGACTGAGCTTCACGGCTTGAGTTCCAGCGCGAGCAACTTTCGCGCTGAAGAAGATTTTTATCTCATTGTCTTTCTTAGACATCGATGGTACAACAGCAACCAAAAGCGTGACAAAGCATCGCTTTTGGCTGCGTGGAACGCATTCGTCCAAAACGTAAAGAATTTTGGACGAGAAGGGTGGCTCAAGAAACTTGAGGCGACACGCCTCAGGTTCGAAAAGCGAACGCCAACCGGTGCCAGATACCGGTTGCACTGTTTGTCGAGTGAGGCAGGCATTCCTTGCCTCACATGGGGAGACCCTTGTGCGAGTTGTGTTTACAACTCGCAGCGTGCACATAGGGATGTGTATTCCCCAAGTTCGCCCTGGGGAAGGGCACACATCTCGGCTGAGATGCGTGACGCGATTGCAAACTTGCAATCCGTCTACAAGCGCCAAAAGCGCGTGTTTACCGATGGGCCCGAGGACTCACCGGATGGGTCTCGTCATACTGGCGGACGAGACCTTCAACATCCATCAACAGCTGAGAGCGGGGCTCCCAGCTGTTCCAAGAGGGTGGATACCCCCGCCACTGGACGAGGTAGCTCGTCCTTGATCCTGAAACGTCACGGTGATTCAAGATACGCTCCACTAGAAAGCGTTGACCACCGTGAGCATCCACCAAAGGATGTGGTGGAGGAGGAAAGACCTCCTCCAGATGATTCGGTTCACCATCTCGACCCTTACGAGATGGATCACGCAATCGATGAATTGCGCGATGACTTGAAGCACGAGCGCGACCGGCGCTACGCTTTGACTGATACCGTGCGGAAGAACCGCAAGGATCACGAGGCTGATCGGGCGAGGGATCGGGCCGATTATGCCATAGCGCAGCTTTAGGTCGAGCGGGATGTCCGCTCCCTATTTGGCGAGCTGGCGACAGCTCGCGGGGAGATATCTCAGTTAAGCACCGAGGTATCATATCTGCGCGACCAGACGGATCGTCTGGAGCGCGAACGCAAGAACGTGATGGATGTTATTGAACGTGGGGGCTATCTTCACCGGAAGAAGAAGGCTCGTACTGACAGTACGGCCTGAACCTCCCCACGTAAAACGTAGGATGCGTGCGCATCTTACGTGGCAATTCGATTTTGTATGCATTGCCCTTGCGATGCAACACTCGAAATGGCCCAATGTACTTCGGCAGTAGTTTACTACTGCCGACAATAGTGACTGCGTGTCCAGGTAAGTTTGCCGTAGACAGTAGTACTAGGTCGTTGATTTTAAATGAAAGAACATTTGCTCTTCTATTCTTGTCTGCGTTCCGCTTCTGACGGTCCACCGCATTTTCGATGGAGTCCTGAACGAAACGGACTACCGCTTCTCGAGTCAGCAGGAAGTTCTCTGATGACTCTTTGCTTTGTATTTCAGTGCGCTTCGTGCGCACTGCTGAGAGATTGTTCTCTTCTTCAGCGAGGTTGTCTTCTTCCTCTCTGGCATAATCGTTGGCGATGCTGAATATACCAGCATCGTCATCATCATCCGAGTCAATATTAATGTTGCCGCTATTATTGAGGTGATCTTCTTCATCGATGTCGACTTGATCGACATCGGCATCATACGTGACGACGTTAGCGTCGACACGTGATGAGCAAGAGCCAAAACGGTTTTTGCTCGAGCGAGTCCCTCCCCCGTTATCCAAGAGTCACACTCTAATAGGGCGGGCACACGTGGATGGCGTAAGCCATTCACGTAAAACGGTGTGTGCTGGGTGGAAGCATGCACCGAATTATTAATGGCGAATTCCACCATGGGTAGGAATTCGCTCCAACTCGGAAACGAGTGGACAAATCCTCGAAGAATCTCTTCGAGGACACGTTTCGCACGTTCCGTCTGACCATCTGTTTCGGGATGGTCAGAAGTAGACATCTTCAATCGTGTTCCGAAAGAACGGAATACGGATTGCCAAAATTTTGCCGTGAACCGAGGGTCACGGTCGGATACTAGTTCACGGGGTAACCCGTGGAGTCTAAAGACCGTGTCTAGAAAGACACGAGCACAACCTTGAGCCTTGATCGACTCAAGTACAGCAACACGATGCACCATCTTACTGAATCGGTCAACAAACACAAGAATACCATTATTTTTGTGAGCGTCTTCGTGA